CCGGAAGCCCCGGGCTTGCCGGGGGAGGGGGCCGAGCGCGCACCTCCGAGGACAAAGCGTGGCCCTCGGAGCCTTCTCGGAACTCCCGCCGGCCTCCGGGTGGCCGGCGGTCCCCCTGCTTACCTCTGCTTGAGAGCACCCCTCTTATATTTACACGCCCACACCGCAGCTCTTCAGACCTGGAGCCGCGTCCGAAAGGAGTACGAGTTGAACTGAATGAAGAAAGGGAGAAGTTTGGGGCTGCGCAGTGGGAGAATTCCTGAGGACTTCAATGTGGGCTACGAGGGGGCAGATAGACAAAATCACCCCGTGGCCGGAGCCGGGAAGTCTTAGTCGAGGATTCTCCCTAAGTGTGTGAGCGCTACCATTCGGACTACTGCGATGAAGTAGGAAGTGAAATCAATTTTGCAATTAAATGAAAGACACTGAAATGCCTAAGAAAGGGATGAGGAAGCAAGAAGAATAATGAGCCTTTGAAAGATGGTCTTGAGAAAGACTATAGTGGCGTGGAAGAAAGGGCCTTCCCACGGAGAGAATTGTCTCTGTAGCTCACCGGATTCTTAGTAAAGCTGGCAAGGATGTTGAGCCTCAGCATGCTGGATAGAGTTTCAAAGCAATGTCGTCTGAGTTTGGGGAGACCTAAGCACTAGAGCTAAAGCCATGTCTACTCCATCAGGATCGAAGAGGCAGCAGCCAGAAACCCATTCCTGCCTTCTCTGGCAACACACCCACACCACCACTGTGTGCCTTGAATCAGCCATAACCATAATGACTTGGGAGTCATTGGCATCATATGATATTTAAAGCTATGAGACGGGACCACAAGAGGAAAGGTAGAAATGTCCCTCAAACTCCAAACTTGTACCTAACACATTCTTCAACATTTTCTTTGACAATCAGTATACATTGCTATGTCCAAAACTAAACTCCTGACTTTCTTCTGAAGTCTATTCTTTCTTTAGCTTCATCTCAATTAGTCACTCTATCTTTCCAGTTACTCAAGCTAAAAGCTTGGGGTTTTGGCCTGTCCTGTGTCTTTCACACCTCACATTTAATCCAGCAGGAGATTCTATCACCTCTACCTTTAAGCACATCCCGATTTCTGCCTCTTAAAACCACCTCCCTTTCTATAATCGTGGTCTAAGCCATCTTCTAATCAGTGCAAAAAGCCTCCAACAGCTGGCCATGTATCCAAATGGTTATTTGGGAACCAGATTCCATGTGACCATGGTTCAAATCCCTGCCTAGTGGCTTGAAAAATATACTAGACCCTGTGTATGCATGTCCCAAACTCTGACAGGATAGAGAGATGGAAGAGAGGAGATTGTGGTGTGATCACACCCTGTTGGGGTACTTTCTCTCACTATGTCTGGTGAGCACATGCTCCCCATGGCAATAAAAAAAAAAAAAGCCCAAAGGCCTCTAAATAGGTCTCCCTGCTCCAGCATTCCCCTTCTTGCCCTTATAGTCTAGTATCAGCAGAACAGCTATGTGCTTAAGTTTACTTTAAGTCAGATTAAGTCGTGAAGCCCTCTGCTGAAACCATTCAGTGGTTCTCAATTCCTTCCAAATCCTTACAATGACCTGCAGGTCTGCTACATTCTGATGGCAGCCCCTGAATCTCTTCCTTCCACTTAGCCCTTTTTCACTCTGTTCCAGCTACACTTGCTTCTTTGCTTCCTCAAACACACATGACACAGGCCTGCCTTTATTTTTTTCTTATTTATTTATTTATTTATTTATTTATTTTTCCACAAACATTTACTTTACATATCAAAAAATTTTTGCTAATACTCCATAGTTCTTGAGAGTTAATAAACAACTTTCAAGATTTCAAACTACTGAATTTTAAAGATAATGTTCAAAATATTTTTTATAAATTTGTATAATTTTGTTTGTGGCTCTATGACAATAGAGACAATATAGGTTTAAATATTTTTGAGAAAATATTTACACGTCAACTGCTCAAATTGTTGAAAAGCAAATACCCAACACACAAGTTAATTTTCAAGTATGACAGTCCAGTCAAAGCCCTGTCCAATAATGAATATTTCCAATTTCTGATTGAATGCAACAAGCAGTATTGAACTTATGCAGATAACACTTCTGCCAAATAATAAGAATACTCACAAATATTTCCAATTCAAGAGGGGTCAGGAAGACAGAAAAGTTTATGTTTCCATTAAAGAAACAAACAAGAAAAATATTTTAACAAATTACTGAACCTATCAACAACTCAAAAGAAAGTAAAATGTGTGAATTGGGAAAAAAGTAAAAAAGAAATCAGTAATGTGTTACTCAAAAGTCATAAAATTCTATTTCACGATTTCAGTCTTAATGTTCAAATACTCTTCTGTTGAATATGCAGTGTTACTGTGGTTCAATCTTTCCATTTAAATCCCGGAAGTTAACATTCAACGTTATTATTGATATTTTTGTCCCTAGCATTGAATTGGTCGGTTTTTTGGTTGCCATTTGTTCTCTTATTTCTGTATGTGTCTTTAGTTTTCCTAGTAGAGCACTCCTTTCAGAACTTCTTGAAGAGTGAGTCTGCTATTGGCAAATTCTTTCAGGTCTTATTTATCTGAGAATGTTTTTATCCTTTCTTTGCATATGAAAGATAATCCTGCCAGGTATAGTATTCTTGGTTCAAACTGTTTTTCACTTAACACTTTGAATATATTTTACCACTCTTTCCTTGCTCACATTGACTCTTTCCTTGCTTATATTGTTTCTGATGATAGGTCTGAGATTAGCCTGATAGGATAACCTTTATAAGTAACCTGACATTTCTCTCTTGCCAATTTTAGTATCTTGTCTTTGTCTGTAGATTTGGCCAGTCTGGCTATGATGTGCGTTGCAGAAGATCTTCTTGGGTTGATTCTATTAGGAGTCCTTTGTATTTCTTGGGTCTGGATATTTGAATGCCTCTCTAGATTTAGAAAGTTTTCTTCCAAGATTTCATGGAATAGATTATCAATGCCCTTATTAGTTTCTTCACCTTCTGGGATATCAGTTATCCAGGTGTTTGGGTGCTCAATGCTGTCTAGTATTTCTCGTGTAGCATTCTCATTTTGGGGGGTTATTTTCTCAGTTTTTTTTTTTTGGTTGTTTTTTCTAGATCAGAGGTTTTGCCTTCCAAATCCAAGATTTGATTTTCTGCATGGACTAATCTGCTTTGAATAATTTTGAGGGAGGTTTTGATTCCCTGAATAGCATCCTTCATCTCTAATAGCGCCATCTGATTTTTTTTTTATGGTGTATATTTCCTCTTTCAGGTCATGTAAGAACTTCAACACCTCCTGGAATTCATTTTCTCATTTCTCCTGCATCTTCTGGAGTTCATCATCTCTCAGCTCTTGCATCTTGTTTAGTTTTGTCACTATGAATAGTCTGAATTCTCTATCAGACATTTTCATGAGATTTGTGAATGATGAGGAAATGTTCTGTTCCCTTAGGGGAGAGATATTTTCTTGATTCCTCAAGTTTCTTGCGCTTCTGCAGTTGTTTCTGGTCATTCAGTGACAAAATCTATCCTACACTGTGCTTTGCTATGGGTATCCCCAGAAAGATTAGGAGTTCAGATTTATGAAAAGAAATTTCTTCATTAAACCAGGAGGTTCAATAAGCAGTGAGGAGTTCAATGATTCTAAAAGTATTTAGATGCTTGGCTATGATGCACCAAGGCATATCTAGACATTCAGTGTGTGGAGAGTGAAGCTTAGAGTGGGGGAGTAAGGATAAAAAAAAATAAGCAAAAGGAAAAAGAACTAGAAAAATACTGTCAAAAAAGAGAAAAAAAAATTTACATGTAAAAAATGAAAACCGCGTGGCACGCAAACATGCCCGGACACACCTCAGCTTTAAAATGCCTTCTGGAATTAGCATGTGAAAGAAAAGGTCCAAGGTGAGGAGAAGTGGTTGAAAAGTTTTTAAAAAATTAAAATTCAAAGAGAGTGTGCAAGGCAGACAGATAGCTAGAGACACAGAAAAAAACATAGGTCACCCTACCTTGTCTGAATATTTCAGGAGTCTAGGAGATGGCGCCTAGAGCATAGCTTCCCTGAACATACCAGGACACACTTCAGTTTAAAATGACTTCTTGTCTGAATATTTCAGGAATCTCAGGCCTGCCTTTGAACCTTAGCTTTAGCTTTCCTGGCTGCCGAAAGCAACCTTCCCTAATAAATTCACATGGCTAACTCCCTCCCTTTTCTTGAGTCCATTCAAATATCTTTTCAGGGAGGCCTACTCTGGCCACCTTTTTTAAAACTACACCTACCTTCTCCAAGGACTTGCAGTTCTCCTTTTCTGTTCTACTTTTTTTTTTTTAGAATTTACCTCCTTCTAATATGCTACATGGTTTACTTATCACTTATTGTTTGATTTTATCCTCCATCTACCACTAATATATAAACTTCACCTGGGACTTTTGTCTATTTTGTTCCCTGGTATATTCTAAGTACCTGAAGCAATGCCTAGCACATAGTAAGCTCTCAAATATTTGTTGAATGAATGTCTAGGAAACAGGTGCTACACAGTGGTGTCAGCAAAACAGTATCTCATTGTTTGTTGCCTTACTTTGCTCTGAGACAAGAGCTACAGACTCAGTTGAGTAAGTGGGCCTGTTGGCCATGTAGCTGATGAAGGGGTTATGGCCCAGCTGAAGGAAGTAACAGGTCTTCAGTAACGGCCAACTGCTACCATAAGGGAATGCAAATCTTCTCATTTTCAAGCAAAACCAGAAATCTAAAAATGTTTATAAGAAATCTGACCTTTGAGACGAGCAGATGGTGTAGCAGTTATGTTACTGGACTCCTACATGGCTGGCCATGATTTGAGTCCCCCACCTGGTGGATTGAAAATCACATTGGGCACATGTGCATGCATATTCTCTCTATAGAGGAGAATGGATTGTAATGTGGCCATCCCCGCGGCAGGTGATTTCTCACTTGTACATCTCACTGTCTCTGTCACTCTCTTTTGCAGTCACAGCACGCTCCCTAAGGCAAAAACCTCTTAGAAAAAAAAAGATCTTTAAATATTGGTGAGGGGGCCGGCAGGTGGCGTGGTGGTTAAGGACACTGAACACCATATGGCCAATTGCGGTTTGAGTCCTGTACCTAGCAGCTTGCTTTCTCACTTTTTTTCTCTCTCATTCTGTCCCTCTCTGGTCAAATTAAAATAAATAAATAAAATTTTAAAAATAAAACTATTGATGAGTAAGTACATTCCTCCCTCCCCCCCTTTTAGAGAGATTTTTGCTATAGGGCACATGTGCTCACCAGAGAGACAGACAGAAAGCAAGAAATCACCCCCCAAGGTGCATGGCCACCCCGCAGTCCCTTCTCCTTCACTGTCCTCTTGGGATTTTGGGCATGCTCATACACATGTGTGGCGTGAGTTTCAAGCCTTGAGTCTCAGGTCTTGAACCACTGTTGACCATGTGGGAGTACAGCAACGTAATCATTATGCCATCTGCTGGTCCCCCCCTTTTAAAAGTTCATTTTTTTCATCTGTGAGAAAAAAATAGAGATAGACAGAGAAAGAGAGATCGCACTCCCAATGGTATCTCCGTGCTGTAATCAACCCCAGCTTTAGCCAGCCCAGGATCATAGACACACATGTGCCTGGTGTACGCATGGAAGTCCCTAGACATAAACCCAGAACCTTCCTATTTGGATCAGCCTTGCAGAACATCGCTTTATGCCCCTGTGTTACTGTCAGGCTCCATTTTCCCTTATTTTTTAAAACACTGAGGGGACCAGCAGATGGTGGAATGGTTACATCGCTGGACTCCCACATGACCAACCCCAGTACAAGTCTCAGACCCAGAGGCTTGAAACTCATGTCAAGCACGTGTGCATGCATGCCCAAAATCCCAAGAGAAGAATGGAGGAGAAGGGATTGCAGTGTGGCAATCCCCCAGGAGTGATTTCTTGTTTTTTCTCTTTCTGTCTCTCTGCCAAGCACACATCCCCTATAGCAAATGTCTATTTTTAAAAAAATGGTATGGACCAAATGAAATACTTAAGAATAGTTTGCCAGTTTACTGTCTCTGGTTTAAGATGTGAAAAGCATATACATAAAGACAGGGTTTTTCCAACTTTAAACGATGAACTCAACACTTACAAGGGTTGTCTGCTAAGCTGAGCCAGAGAGATCTTGTTATTTATCTTACAAGCATATAACTAATCAGGGTCCTTGACTCATGTCCGGAAAACATTAATTATAGTGAACATACATTCTAAATATGTAAAAGACTTCACCTCCAAAACTGTCCAGTTGGCCACACAAGCTACTGTATTAGTTTCCTTGGGCTGCCATAAAGTACAGAGGGCCTACGATGACTCAACTTGGGATTTTCTGACATTACAGTAATGTAAGAATAATACATATTCAGGAAAAACTGTACCTTAAATATCAACAGCATTCCATAAATTCATGAGGTATTTAGCACGTTATTATACAGTGGACTTTGTGTTGGATAATTTTGTCCAGCTGTAGGCTATAGAGTTCTCTAAGTGTTCTGAACATGTTTAAAATAGTCTAAGCTGGGGGCCAGCAGGTGGCATGGCGTTAAGGTGCTAGACTCCCTCATGGCCAGCCTTGGTTTGGGTCCCAAACCTGGTGGCCTGTTTTTTCACTTTCCTTCTTTCTCTCTGTCTCTTTCTGATTAGCACACATGCTCTGTAGCAAATTTAAAAATAATGATAATGATAATAAATAAAGTTAAATAATTCTTTGTAAAAAAAAAAAGGTATGCTAAGCTATGTTCGATAGATTAGATGTATTCAACAATTTTTGAATAAAATTATTTAATTTTATTTACTATTATTGTTATTTCTTAATTTGATGAGGGAGAGACAGAGAAAATGAAAAAAATAAGCCACCAGGTCCAGGATTCAAACTGAAATTGGCCATGCCAGCCCCTCAATTTATTATTTCTTTTGCTTTTTTGATTTTTTTTTTGTTCTTTCCCTCAACGTGTTTTTGATTTATGATATTTTCAACTTCATTTTTTGTCTTAGTCATTTTTCAGCTACTGGCCATAACCCCATTGTAAATCAAGGAGCATGCAACTGGATGGCTTTAATGACAAAAATTCATTGACTCTTAGTTCTAGAGATTATACAAGGGGACATTAGAAAGTTTATTAGTTGGTGGTTAAGGCGCTGGATTACCACATGGCTGACCATGGTTTGAATCCCAGAATGGCAGCTTGAAACTAACACAGGGTACATGTGTGTGTAAACCCTGAGAAGAGAATGGAGGAGAAGAAATTGAGGTGTGGCCATCCCCACACTCAAGAGAAACACTTTCTCTCTCTCTAGTTCTCACACGAGCACACGTGCCCTATAGCAAAAGTCTCTCTACAAAAATGAAAATAGGGACTGGTAGGTGGCTGACCGCGGTTTGATCCTGGACTTGGAGGCTTGCTTTCTCACTTTCTCTCTCTTTCTCTAGTCAAATTGAAAAAATGATAATAATAATAAATAAAATTAAATAAGTACTTAATTTTTAGATAATAAAATAAATGAAAACAAAATAAGCCATTTTTTAAAAAGAAAGAAAATATTATAACCATTAAAGAATATGAATGGGTATTGAAAAAACTTCACTGAAAAAATTGGGCAGAAAGTTGATGAGAACATCTTTTTTTTTTTTGCAGAAATACTCCAGCTTGGGGCTGGTAGGTGGAGTAGTGTGGTTAAGGGCTCTGGACTCCCACATGGCTGACTGCAGTTTGAGTCCCGGACCCGGCGGCTTGATTTCTCACTTTTCCTCTATCCCTCTCTTTTTCTCTCACTCTCAATCTGTCCCTTCCCAGTCTAATTTTAATTAATTAACTAATTAAGTTAAATAAAAGAATTTTAAAAATAAAAGAAATATTCCAGGTAATAAATGAAATAGAAATGGCAGAATTAAAACATCGTAATGGGGGGGAGGGGAACCAGTAAGTGGCATGGGGGTTAAGGTGCTGGAACCTCCCCCATGGCCGACCACAGTTTGAGTCTCTGACCTAGTGGCTTGCTTTCTCACTTTCTCTCTTTCTCTCTCTCTCTCTTTGGTCAAATTAAAATATATGAATGAATAAAATTAAATAATAAAAAGTTCAATAAATAAATAAAAATGAATGCATAAATAAATTAACTAAATGATTTTTTACAAAAATCATCACTGTGACCAGCAGATGGTGTAATGGTTACATCGCTGGACTCCCACGTAGTTGACCATGGTTTGAGTCCCAGACCAGGCATTAAAATTCATGCTGGATGCGTGTGTGGGCATGCCCAAAATCCCACGAGAAGGGATTGCAGCATGGCCACCCCACAAAGGATGATTTCTCACTTTCTGTCTCTGTCTTTCTGGCAAGTGCATGCGCCCTATAGCAAAAATCTCTCTCAAAAAAATAAATAACTCACGTCAGTTTTGTGTGCGTGCATGCCCAAAATCCCGAGAGGAGAATGGAGGGAAGGAATTGTGGCATGGCCATCCCTTCCAGGGAGTGATTTCTTGCTTTCTGTCTCTCTGTTTCTCCAGTGAATACACACACCCTATAGCAAAAAGTCTCTCTCTTTAAAAAGGAAAAAAAAAACATTTCCCAACTCTTAGTAAACAAATGAATCGGAGCAATGATCATTGATAGCTGATTAAATCACAGAGTCGAGCAGAAACTATATACCTCCTTATGACAATATAATATACTTTTTTAAAATAGACTTTTGCTATATAGCACAGGCCCTTGCCAAAGAGACAGAGAGATAGAAAGCAAAAAATCACCCCCCCGGGGGGGTGGTCACAGCACAATCCTTTCTCTTGGGCTTTTGGGTGCACACATGCACATGTACCTACTATGAATTTGAAACCATCAGGTCCGGGTCCTGAACTGTGGTTGGCTATGTGGGAATCCAGTGACGTTACAATTATGCCATCTTCTGGTCCTGACAATAAACTTTAAAAAAAAAAAATTTGTTACAGGGCCTGGCAGGTGGCGTGGTGGTTAAAGGCACTGGATTCCCACATGGTCGACTGTGGTTCAAGTTCAGGACCTGGTCACTTTCGCTCTCTTTCTCTCTCTCTGTCCCTCTCTGGTCAAATTGAAATAAACAAATGAATAAATAAATAAAGCTAAATGAAATAATTCTAAAAAAAAAAGTTTAAAAAAAAATGTGCTACAGAAGGTCCAGGAGGTGGTGTGGTGCTTAAGACACTGGACTCCTACATGGTCAACCACAGTTCGAGTCCTGGACCTGGTACCTTGCTTTCTCATTCTCCTTCTTTTTCTGGTCAAACTGAAACATAATAATAAACAAATAAAATTGCATAAATAATTATTTGCCAAAAAATAAATTACTACAGGGTAAATACTCTTGTTAGATAGAGACAGACACAAAGTGAGAAAGCACTTCCCATAGGGGACAGTCATACTACAATCTCTTCTTTTCTCTCTCTCTTTTTGTGACATTGGGCATGCACACACATGCACCCATGTTTTTGAACCTTCTAGGGCCAGGGCTCAAACCATACCATTGGCCATGTGGGATTTAGCGACTTAACCACTACACCAATTGGCCCCCACAATGTGCTTTCTACAAATCTTGCAAAGGGGTCCCCGGGTTAAGGTGCTGGACTCGCACATGGATGATTGTAGTTTGAGTCCCAGATCTAGCAGCTTAGGACTCATGCCAGGCCCATGTGCCTAGGTGCCCAAAATCCCAGGAGGAGAATGAAGGAGAAGGGATTGCAGCATGGCCATCCCTCCTGGGAGTGATTTCTCACTTTCCCTCTTATTGTTTCTCTCTGTCTCTCTTCAGTAGGCACATGTGCCTTATGGCAAAAACCATTAAAAAAATAAATAAATAAAACAAAGTCTTGCTAAACCTTTCTGTCCTTTTCCAGTGTCCACGATGTCAAAGCAAGAACGTTGTGGGTCCTCTGGAGCGAAATTCTGGACTTCCCTGGGTCTTCCTGTAGGAGCCATGATCAACTGTGCTAACAGCACAGGAGCCAGAAATCCGTGCATCATCTCTGTGAAGAGGATCAAGGTACAGCTGAGCAGGCTTCCCATTGGTGGTGTGGGTGGTGTGATGACGGTTGCAGTCAAGAAGGAAAAGCAGAGCTCAGGAGGAAGGTGCATCCAAGCAGTGGTAATTCAACAACAAAAGTCATACCAGAGAAAAGACAGTGTCTCTTTCTTTATTTGGAGGATAATGTAGGGGGTCATAGTAAACAATAAGGTGAAGTGAAAGGATCTGCCACCCCAAGACCAGTTTCAAAGAAGTGTGCAGATTTGTGGCCCACAATTGCATCCAATACTGACAGCATTGCATGATTCTCTAGTGTATATGTAAAAAAAAACAAAAACAAGAAAGTATTTGCTCCCCCCTTCATAAAACTCCTGTCCAAAATATCAAAACTAGGGGACAGCAGATGGCATAGCTGTTATGTTGCTGAACATGGCCAACCATGGTTCAAGTCCTACACTTGGAAGCTTGAAACTCATGCGGGGAACAGAGGCATGTGTTCCCAAGATCCTGGGAGGAAAATGGAGGAGAAGGGATTGCAGCATGGCCATACCCCCTAGAGGGTGATTTCTTACTTTCCCTCCCACTGTCTTTATCTCTCTCTTACACTAAGTTAAAAACCTCTAAAAAGAAAAATCGAAACTGAATCTGATCAATCCTAGTGCTAACTATGAACTTACAGAAATTAAGGGTAGGAACCAGCAGATGATGTAATGGTTACATTGCTGGACTCCCACATGGGCTACCATGGTTCAAGTCCTGGAATCAGCAACTTAAAACTCGTGCTAGGTACATGTGTATGCATGCCCAAATCCCAAAAGGAAAATGGAAGAGAAAGGATTGCAGCATTGCCATTAGGGGGCGAATTTTTGCCATAGGGGGCTATTTTTCACTTTCTGTTCTCTGTCTTTCTGGCAAGCACATGTGCCCTATAGCAAAAATCTCTCTAAAAACAAAACAAAACAAAAGAACAAAAACAAATTAAGGAGAGAGGAGTGCATTAAACTATATAACGTGTCTGTTAGTTTTACACTACTATAATTAAGATCCCTATGACTGGGTAATTTATAAAGAACAGAGATTTATTTCTTATTGTTCAAGAGGCCAAGAAGCTCAAGATCAAGGGGCTGCATCTGAATGAGGGCTTTTTTGCTGCCATCATACCATGGCAAAAGACAGGAGGGCAAGAGAAGCCCCAGAGAGCAAGAGATCAGATTCCCAGCCTCAAATTCTTTGATAATCGGTATTAATCCATCTCTAAGGGTTATCCCTCATAACCTAAACACCTCTCAGGATCCATTCCCCAAACTATTACATTGGGAATTAATTTTCCAACACGTGATTTGTGTGTGTGTGTGTGGAGGGGTTACATTTAACCCATAGCACCGTGGCAATGTAGTCAGCAAAATCTGGATATAGGAAACTGAGAAAGGCAACCTGATTTTTTATTAAATTTCTTTGAATGAATAAAATGAGATTGAACAGGAAGATATAAATTAAGAGGTTAAGTGGTATGTCATCCAACTGTAAGGTACAGACTTTCCATGGCTCCTGATTTAAACAAAGAACCTATATATGTATATATGTATATATATGTATATTTATGTGTGTGTATATATATATGTGTGTGTGTGTGTGTGTGTGTGTGTATAGTTTAAATAAAGCCACAACTATAAGTCAAGAGCTCCTTGGTAAGTTAATAAGGAAACATAAACATTTGTACTGAGGTATGAGGGATAGAAGATAGCATTTTACATTTTTCTAGGTGCATAAAATGCCTCTGGATGAATACAGAAGAAGCTAAAAACATTGTTTTGGGGGTGAGGGATTGGAAACCTGGGAGACAGGTGAAAAAAGGAGATTTTTTTTTTCCCCTGTGAATATTTTGTACCTTTAAAATATTTAACCATAGGGGCCGGCAGGTGGTATGGTGGTTAATGGCACTGGACTTCCACACGACCAACCATCGTTTGAGTCCCACACTCAGTGGCTTGATTTCTCACTTCCTCTCTCTCTCTCTTTTACTCTTGCTTCTTTCTGGCCAAATTAAAAATAAATAAATACATTTCAATAAAAGTTTTGTTTTGTTTTGTTTTGTGTTTTGTTTTTTGCTATAGGGCGCGTGCCAGATGGACAGAGACAGAGAGACAGAAAGCGAGAAATCACCCCCCAGAGGGGATGGCCACGCCTCAATCCCTTCTCCTCCGTTCTCTTCTCGGGATCTTGGACACGCACACACACGCGCCCAGCGTGAGTTTTAAGCCACCGGGTCCGGGACGCGAACCACAGTCAACTACATGGGAGTCCAGCGACATAGCCATTACGCTAACAGCTGGTCCTCAATAAAAGTATTTCCAAAAAAAATGTTGAACCATGTAAATGTATCATCTTGTATAATTAACTGAGTAATCAGTTAATTAGCTTAAAATAAAGACTAAAATGGGGGACAGCAGGTTGCTTAGTGGTTAGGGTTCTGGACTCCCACATGGCTGACTGCAGTTCAAGTCTCAGACCTGGAGGCTTGCTTTCTCATGTTCCCTTTCTCTCTCTCTCTCTTTCTCCCCCTCTCTGGTCAAATTAAAATAAATAAATAAATAAATAAAGTTAAATAAAATAATTCTTTAAAAAATAAGACTAAAATGAGGGTAATATGTTTAAAAGAGATGAGACAGGTCCACCAGATGGCATAGTGGTTATGTTACTGGACTCACACTTGGCCAACTTTGAGTCGTGGACCCAATGGCTTGAAAATAATGCCAGGCACATGTGCATATGTGCCCAGGATTTCAGGAAGAGAATGGAGAAGGGATCGTGGTGTGGCCAGCGCCCCTGGGGGGTGATTTCTCACTCTTCCTCTTGCTGTCTCTGTGTCTCTCTCGGTCGATCACATGTGTGCTGTGACAATGCCCTCTCCATAAAAGGAATGGGGAGATTAGCATCACAAGGCCATTTCCCCCAATACAAAGAGAAACTTAAATGAAATCACTGTATTAAATCACTGCAAAGGACCACTGTAACTGAGTATAGCACGTGATTCCAAAATTTCTTTTGCTATAGGGAACCAGTAGTTAGCGTAATGGCTATGTTGCTGGACTCCCACGTAGTTGACTGCGGTTCACGTCCCGGACCTGGTGGCTTAAAACTCATGACGGGCACTTGTGCGTGCGTGCCCTGTCTCTATGTCTCTCTGGGTCTGTCTGGCGAGTGCACATACCCTATAGTGAAAATCTCTCCAAAAAAAAAAAGAAAAAAAAATTTATTTTGCTATAAAGGACTTCACAGGCAAAGTGAATTCCAAATAAGATCATAGACTACATAGGAGTATTATATAAATGTTAATTTCCTGATTTTGATAAAAGTGTAATTTTTCAAAACACAAAAATGTTAGGGATATCACAACATAGTTTACTCAAAACTTAAGTTTTGCAAGGTCAACAGGTCGTGTGGTGGTTAAGGTGTTGGACTTTCACTTGGTTAACTCTGGTTCAAATCCTGGACCTGGCTGTTTGCTTTCTCATTTTCTGTTTTGCTCTCTCTCTCTCTTGTCTCTCTCTGGTCAAATTTTTAAAAAATAAATAATAAATAAAATTTTAAATAACAAAAATAAATAATTCTTAAAAATTTTTTTGTGTGTTTTTAAGAATTGTTTATTTTATTTATTTTCATTATTTTTTAATCCTCCAGAGAGAGAGAGAGAGAAAGTGAGAAAGCAAGCTGCCAGGTCTAAGGCTCAAACTGTGGTCAGCAATGTGGGAGTCCAGTGCCTTAACCACTGCACCACCAGCTAGCCCTCTTTTAAAAAAATGTTTAAATAGAGGCCCAGACTATGCTGGACTCCCACACAGTCGACCATGGTTCAAGTCCCAGACCTGGTGGTTTAAAACACGCCAGGCGGAGACCAGCAGTTAGCGTAATGGCTATGTTGCTGGACTCCCATGTAGTCAACCTCGGTTCGAGTCCTGGATCCGGTGGCTTAAACTCATGCCGGGCACGTGTGCGTGCGTGCCCAAGATCCTGAGAGGAGAATGGAGGAGAAGGGATTGCGGCATGGCCATCCCCCTGGGGGGTGATTTCTCGCTTTCTGTCTCTCTGTCTCTCTCTTTCTGGTGAGCGCACGTGCCCTATAGCGAAAACCTCTCCAAAAACAAATAAATAAATAACACACCAGGCACTTGTGCATGCCCACGACCCCGAGAGGAGAATGGATTGCAGCATGGACAATCCCCCCTCAGGAGGGTGATTTCTCATTTTCTGCCTCTCTGTCTCTCTGGTAAGCACATGCACCCTAAAGCAAAAATCTCTCCAAAAAAATGATTAAAAACCTAAGTTTTGGGGAGAGATATACAGAGACAGAGAGAAATATTAATAATAAAGCAAGCATAGTAAAATGTTAACATTTGCACCACAAGCAGAAGCACCTAGAACTCTCACACAGTCATGGTAGGAATAATAATGCATATTGTTATGATTATTTTTGAAGTCAGATGATTTCTTATAATTAAATATATACTTGCCATATGACCTAGCAATTATACTCATTTACCGAAGAGAAACAAAAGCATATGTCATCCCTCTATATTCACAGGTGGCAGGTTCTGGGACTCCTGCAGGTACCCAAATCTGCAGATGCTCAGCTTCCTTACATAAAATGACTTTGTATTTGCATCTAACCTATGAACATTATCTCACATACTTTAATCATCTCGAGATTACTCACAGTAATTTTTAGCATGAGATACAAAGGAAAGAAAAGCATATGGATAAATGTCTTCATCTTTTTTTTTTTTTTTGAGAAGTTTTTGCTTTAGGTCATGTGCGCTTGTCAGAAAGACAGAGAGACAGATTGACAGAAAGCAAGAAATCATCCCCCAGGGAGGATGGCCGCACCTCAATCCCTTCTCCTCCATTCTCCTCTCAGGATCTTGGGCACACATGCACACGTGCCTGGCGCGAGTTTAAGCCACTAGGTCTGGGACCCGAACTGCGGTCAACTACATGGGAGTCCAGCGACATAGCCATAT